AATGAACCATCCTAAGCTTACAGGTTCAGTACTCATCTGGATCATTTTTGTCCTCTTAACCAGTCATCTCAAAACTGTGCCAAGCGTGCTGAGACAGTGTGAATCATTCAACGCAAACCCACTTACCATTATTATCAAAATTTAAAATGTGAATGGSTCAAAATTATCTTTGTGTATAGGATACTGAATAACATTAAAAACTATGGTTTGTAATCCACAAATTTCATGCACATATACCCAAAATAGATACTTCATCTATCTCAGTAACATATGAAAACTTAATATTTTTGTTTAATGCTATTATCTTCCATAAGATGTAAATCGGGCATTAAGTGATGCAACAATTATATGACATCAGAAAGAGCAGAAAATACCTGGATGGATGGATGCCAACCCTTTACAATTGATTAATTGAATTTGGAAAAATAACATTAGGAAGAAGTAAGCTTATATTCACAATTTTAAATGTACCACAATATTAAGATAAAAATGCTTTATAAGAGTTATTTTTATTGAACATCTAAAATAAGAGAATTTTAGAACCAAGAGTTTAGAAGTTATCTGAGGTTCAATGAATACTATTGGATCTCCAACACATGTCACACACTGTGATAGGTGCTTTCAGGCAATTCAATTTACTTCAATTTACTCACTTCATTGATGCTGAAGCTCATTTCAAAACTAGAAATGTCCTCACAGTGGTATTACTTTCTATCAAAAAACAAAAACAAAACCTGGTATCATCCTTCTCTATAAAGGAAATAAAATTTCAAAGACGTAAAGCTGACCTCATTTAACAAAAACAAGTCTGTTTTTTTGAATAACCATAAAGAATTACAATTTAAAAATTCAACTGTGAGAGTCCTCAACTAAGTACTAGTTGTATAATTTATTGCAAAGAATAAAACACGATGCTGTCAAAGCTATAATATTCTAATGACATCATATAAAACATAAATTACATAATTCTTACTTTATAAGAAAAAAAGTAATTACCAATATGAACAACTGATGTCCAACAGGAATGCCTATTTTATATATGAGATCATTAACCATACACTAAAAGTTCATGTGTAACAGAAAACACTGGAAAGATCCTGAGTTCTTTAACTATTAGATTACAAATTACAACTAAATATAAAAAACTCCCTGGGGGCAGAGACCCTGTCTAATTCATCTCTGTATTCCTAACAATTTGCGTTGTGGTTAAATGTTGAAGAAGGGGGAGAGCTAAATTCAACCTAACAATCTAAAAGACATTATTTTATGACTGAAACTATTTTTTAAGTGTTAATAATACCCAATGAAAATGAAATTTCCATGAATCTTAAGCTCAACAACCATGGCTGTCAAAACTATTTTTTGAAAGCAATTCAGATAGACACCGGACAAATATATCTATATACTTTGATTCCTCTGGATGAATCCAAAAAAATTCCCAAAAGAAAAATGTTCCTTCTGCAAATGTTAATTCCATTGTTATTTTAATGGAGAAGGAGAGGGGAGCTACCTAGATGCCCAAGAGTGGCCCAAGAGTGAAAAGATTGACTATTTTGCAATCACTGAAAAAGGTTTAAAATGAAGATTTACCCCTGAATTAATTCCAATCTCATCTCTCTCCCCCACACACTGATTTTCACATACTAGCTATAATGATGTTCACAAACTTAAATCACAATAGGATCTCTCTTCTATTCAAAATCTTACAATTGTTTCCCATCTCAATTCAAAGTAAAGTCCAAAGTTCTTATTATGGTCTATAAGGTCTTCAAGCAGCCCCAGATACTTCTCTAACCTCAAGCTCTCTTCTCCCTTTCATTCCTGCTTATTATCCTCCAAACTCAGTAGCTTCCTAGATGATCTCAAAAAGGCCAGGTGTACATTCAGGGGTCTTTGCACTTAAAAGTCCTCTCTGCATATACCTTTTCCCTCAAGAGAACACACATCCCTCACTTTCCGCTCCAGTCTCAGTTCCTCCTGGTCAATGTTTTTTCTGGGCCTTCATCCTACTCTTCTGCATAAAGAGGCTCTTATCACTTGACACATTTTATATCTATTTGGTTATAGCCTGTCCTTCCTGATTAGAATATAAGGCCCATGACAGCAAGGACTGTTCTTTCTACATAGTAGGTAGGTATTCAATACTCATTGAATTAACACTGAATGTTTATTTAATTATTAAGTACATAAAAACATGCCTATAAACAAGTTTTAAAGAGAATGGGAAAAATGAATCATTTGTCAATATTTTCAAATGCTGATCATATTGCTAAAAAAGGGTTTGGTTGGGTGTGTGCATGCCAATAATCCCAGCAACCTTGTCGACTGAAGCAGGAGGATTGTGAGTTCAAAACCAGCCTCAGGAACTTAGAGAGGCCCTAAGTGACTTAGTAAGACCCTGACTCTAATAAAGCATAAAAAGGGCTGGGGATGTGGCTCAGTGGTTCACTCCTGGGTTCAATCCTTGGTATTAAAAAAAAAAAAAAAAAAAAAGCAGTTTGTACAAACAAAACTGTAAGTCAGTTGTAATTATGATTTTTAGATACTAAAGTGAGTAGAACAATCTTACTTCTTTAGAAGCCATGGGTGTACTGGTTTATAACTGGTAAAAGTTATCGAGAACTTTCCCCCATAAATCTGTAGTAATAATCACTCTTAAATCTGTTCTCAAAGACTCAAAGTGTAGATACTGTCATTCCTGAGGGCATACAAAAAGTGAACAAAGGCTTTCATCCAGGGGCTAGGGATACGGCTCAAGTAGTAGCGCGCGCTCGCCTGGCATGCGTGAAGCACTGGGTTTGATCCTCAGCACCACATAAAAATAAAATAAAGATATTGTGTCCACCTAAAGCTAAAAAATAAATATTAAAAAAAAGACAGTATCCAAGATTGGCTTCAAAAGATCCCTAAAGCTGAATGCAAAATTTTGTGCACAAATGCCGGTTATTTTGGGGGGGAGGTAGGGTCCATATAATTCATCACATTCTCAAAAGTGTCAGTGGCCTAGAAAAGATTAAGAATTGCCATTTATATAGTAGGAGTAAAATGCAATATCTTAACATAAGGTATCTCTAAAAAGGACAGAAGACATACAACACCTAGACATATCTTTGTAAATCACTTAATTCGTTCAACAAATACCAAATATGTACAGTCCTCAATAGTTTACATCTATTCATATTTGAAGCAGAACCTAATTCAAAATGGTAACATAACAAGATTCACAAAAACACCACACTAAAACACAATATCACACAATACAAATATAATTTCAAAAGTGTTACAGTAAAGCATAATAAAGACAGAAATGAGTATGGAGCCTACTTTGGTGTTTATTATGTCAAAGTATTGCAGAAATCAATTACATCAAAAGAAAAGAAAAACTATACATAACCCCCCCCMCACACACACATTCTGACAGGAAACCCCAAGAAAGTTTCCAAATCCTGTTTCCAGCAGCATCACTTGTGAGACTGCCCTCAGCATGCTCTTGAAGGTAAGTTCCCCAAGTTAAATATAAGAACTGACACTTTTTTCTTACTATAATAAAAACAGAATCATCATCTTCCACCCAAGAAGCAAAAAAGAGTGCTACCTGTAAGACTGTGGCCCAGTAACCTCCTGCCCTGTTATTTCATTTCTCATACCTTCCTCCCTTCAAAGCAGTGACAAAATGATTTTCCATCTGAAGAAAGAATAGGTTACTCTTCAGTGACAGTTCTTTTTCTGAGAGGTCAAAGGTCCCCCTAAACTCTGTGGTTTTCAGCCCTTTGAGATCTCACTTTTTTAGGTACAACTGTCTTTCCCTCCTCTTCTCCCTACAGCAGCAAATTACACAACTTAGCTAAAGAAACTGTCCTTAACTTCCTGAGTAAAGGCATAAGCGACAATCCTACCAATCCAACACTCCTAACAAACCCTAGATTGAAGGAAGACAAGAAACACACTGTGACCTCTTTCCTAACAAAATTGAAGGTAGCAAAGACCCACGAAAATCCAACGTAGAAAAGGCGAACACATGGCATGCTACAGAAGACATGGGTGAAAGAGGGCGGGAAAGGGGCTGAGAGGTGGAGTGGCATGTAGAGATGTCAGCCTATCTACTGGGGGAACAGGAAGGAAAGGGGGGACCCTGATCCCTGACAGAAGTGCCGAGGGCCATGCCACAGTCCACCCGCACCTCTCTAGCAGGGGACAGAGAACAGAAAATGCACCAAACGCTCTGACCCCCTCCTCGTATGCCCCCAAAAGGCAAGCTGGGTTTGCAGGAAGCTCTGACCCTAGACTGGGGACAGCAAGAGTGAAAAAAAAAAAAAAAGCCGCTAACTCCAATCTTCTTCATCTCTCAGGCAGCGAGGGGCGAGGGCACTGCGTCCGAGGAGATGGCGAGGGAAATCGGCTTGTGCCATGACACCTCGGAGAGTTGGWGGGTGGGGGACACAATGTCCTCTTTCTCTCCCACACCCGGCCCGGCCCCTCCCGACCGTCTCCCGCAGGCCCAGCCACAGTCGACCGGCTTGGTTGGCGGGCGTGGTTGGCCCTGGCTCCGGCGGCGGCTGCCGGGCCTTACAAGCCCCAGCCCCTCCCGCCGGCCAGGCCCCCGGGCCGCCGCCCCGGACACCGAGGGAACGCGGAGGAGGAAGGGGGAGCCAGAGGACTAACCCGCAGCATGAGCCGCCACAGCCCCAACTCGGCGGACCCGCGTCCCCCACTCCCTCTGAGGCCGGCTGGGGCTCCCCGCCCCTCACTCACCCCCCGGGTCCGGCGCCTCCTCCACCACCTCCTCCTCCTCCTCCCTCCTCTCGGCCGTGGCTCTGGCTCGGGCTCCGGCTCTGCGCGGCGGCGACGGCGGCGGCGGCCTCGGGAGCGGCGGCGGCGGCGCCTCCTGAACGCGCACGCACGCAGCACGCAGGCACCGCCCCCCAGACCGCCCCGCCCCTCCGAGTCGCCGACTACCAGGTTTCGACTCCGCCTTCCCAGTGGCGTTTTGGAGTCCGCTTAAAGGAGCAGCATCGAGAGGGATAGTGAGCGAGAACTACTGTAATGCGCAGGAACCGGTACTTTCGGCTTTGCAGAGAGAGGAGAAGCCGGAAATAAAATGACGAAGGGTCAGAGATTCAGGAGGAATAGGATTTGGAGGGAACGCAACCATTCAACAAGTACTAATTGAGCGCTGTTCTAGGCACAGAGGGTAAAGCCACAGACAAGCAAACGCACTCGTGGAGTTTGCATACTAACGGGGTGGGAGAGGGGAAAGGAACAAATGACAAAAATTTCAGGTAGTGGTAAGGGGTGTGAGAAAAATWAAGTAGGGGATAGAGTGAAATTATAAGCTGCATCTCAGAGGAGACCTTTGTGCCCATACGTGCGTGATATGAAGGAATGAAACTAGGAAGTTAAGGGATAGAGAAGAGGAACGGCTTTCCAGGCTGAAAGAAAAAACAGCCATAAACCTAGAGATGTGGATGCCCCTGCCATGTTGAGAAACAGCAAAAGGCCAGTATGGCTGAGCATTGTCAGCCTGCCAGAGAGCAGGAATAGTTAGGCTTAGAAAGGTGGGCAAGTAGCCAGATCCTGTGGAGCCTATGGGTCATTATAAGAGCAACAGGAAGCTCTGGGAGGAGGGTGAGTCCAGGAATGACTACATCTGATTCATGTTTTTAAAAAGTCTTGCTGTGTGTGTGTGTGWGAGAGAGAAGTACATAATGGAGAATCACAAAGGCCCACAGGAGACCAGCAAGGAGGCTTTTCTTGTTAGCTTGAGCTAGGATGGCAGCAGAGTACAAGGTGAGAAAAATAAAACATATTGCTTTGTAATGTGTTTTATTCATTTTAGTTTTATTTAGATACCTTTTGATTGCAGTGGATTTGGACTTGGACAGTATGTGAGGAAACAATAAGATCACGATTCTTAGATTCAGGGCCTGATGGCTGGGTTAATAGTGGAAGAGTGACTAGAGAAGCATAGGGTGGGCCATACTAAGGAATCTTGAATTGGTGGTCATAAAGTGAGACCATACAGTGTGGTTATGTGATTTTCCTCCAGCCACCTTCCATTGCTTGGGACTTGGAGGAGACWTGGATTTGATCAGGGCTGGGTTTTGCTGGTGAAAGTCGATGGGAGGGGTCAGTTACCCAAGGAAGTGATTATAGAAATAGATCTTGGAATCTGAACTGGAAGAGAAGAGAAAGCAAGTAAAAAGTAGTGGTCCCTGTGGGAAGGAACAGTTGCAGAGGAAGCAATCCAATGAGTGAGGGCCAGGGGACTTTCCAAAGATCAAGCATGGGGAAGTAAGGCCATCAGGGAAGAGGAAGCACAAAGTATCTGTGAGGGAMAAAACGGTTCCAGCTGGCACCAAAGAGCTAGGGAAACAGCAAAGCCTTTGGGCTACAGCCCTCATCCTGGTGTGTGAACAGGGAGACACTGAAGGGTCTGACTGCCTACTAGTACTCTGTAGGGAACTGCACAGACCAGGGAGAAACTGAACGCTGGAGGGGATAAGCCAGGCAGATACAGCCTAGGCTGCTTTATAAACACTGGGAGACCCACTGGATATTTCGCTTTCCCCACACCATGGACACACTCTTACCTAGTGTTTGATCGAAACTAAAAAGTATCTTTCCTCCAATGTTCGGCTCTTCCTCCTCTTGACTTTTCCTTTGCTGCTCACAGCACCCTCTTTCTCAGTCACTGAACTGTCAAAGCCTTGGCATCCTTTAATCTTTCTTCCTCACCCTTATGCCCAATTAGTCCCCAAAGTGTGTTGTGATCTGCACAATCCAATTGTTCTGCCATCATGGAAATCTTCTTTATCTGCAATGGTCCACGTGTGGCTAATGAGCACTTGAAATGTGACCAATACAATGAGGTACTGAATTCCAAATCTTGTATAATTTTAATTAAATTTAGATTTAAATAGCTGCGTAAGCTAAGGGCTACCTGTGTAGCACAGTTATAGATATTTCCTACCCAATGGCTCTTCCATCTGCTCCTTCCTCTGTAGCTACATTGCCATAATTCTAGTATCGATTTTTTTTTTTTAACCCAGGGGCACTTAACCACTGAGCCACATCACCAGCCCCCCCCCCTTTTTTGTATTTTATTTGAGACAAGGGTCTCACCAAGTTGCTTAGGGCCTTGTTAAGTTGCTGAGGAGGCTGGCTTTGAACTCACAATCCTCCTGCCTCAGCTTCCCAAACCTCTGGGATTATAGGTGTGTGCCATCATGCCCAGCTAGATCAGGTATTGATTTACTCTTATTCTAAACTTTTGTTTTACTTCTGTTTGGTCTCCTGCTTAGTTGCTTTTCCATCAGTCCATCTTATGTTCTTGCTAAAATCGTCTTCCTAAGCAATGACCATATCATGACTCCACCTATTCTAGAAGTTATTAGTAGTTCCCTATCAAATTAAGCACAAACTCTTCAATCTGACACTTACCCAGTTATGTATCTCCGCCACTTTTCCAGTCTTACATTTCACCATATCCTTATATGTAAAGTGAACTACTTGCTATTATTCTATCAGTTTATTAAACTCTGTCTGCCACAGATGCCTCCAATTCCCTCTACCAGAGCCCAAATCTGTTGAAGGCCTGTCCCATATCACAGCTCCTACTTGGAGCCTTTTCTAATTTCCTCCTCCTCTGAAGTCCCCACAGTTTCTATTTCTACTTACCTGTGGTATATTTTGTGTATTTCTTTTATTCCTGTTACTAAATGTCACTCCTTGCAGGTCACTGCATGTCAATTGTATTTGTACCTCTTGGAATGTTAGTCCTGCACCTTATGAAATAGCCACCAAATGAAACTTTGCTATTATGAAAGTATTTCTTTTCTTGTTATTACTGGCTAAGTATTTCTTCCAGATGCTTCCCCAACTTAGGATACCTTGGCAATTCCATTAGAGCTTGTAATCYTAGACAGTGTGGGTATACTTAGAACTGGCAGGACCAGCATAGCCACTTCCAGGATCAATTTGTGGGAAAGGCCTTTAAGAAGCGGATTTGTATCAGATTGTGATACAAATCAATAAAAAGAGCTTTCTATCTAATAAATGTTTAGAAAATGTATTTTTAGAGCTTGAACTKTTAGAAGCCTGTAACCCAAGAGTAGAATTACATAGGCTATGCCCTGCAATATCTGATGTACTTTTCCTGTTGGCACAATARAATTTGAGAATTTGAAAAGCAGGTATAGTATTTTAAATAAATAATTAATTAATTTTTGCAGTCCTGGATATCAAACTTAAGACCCTGAGCATGCCAGGCAAGTATTGTACCACTGAGTTCCATCCCATTCCATTTTTAAACAAAATGTACCATATACACTTAGGACCTTATGCACATTTATTCAATACACCTTAGCAGAGGCTTGCCATTTACAAAGGACTTCTGCTTGTTGCTGAGGATACAAAGATAGGAAAGATATGATTCCTGCCTTCAAGAACACATGGTAAAGACAGGACCTGGCTTTGGCATGCATTTTTACAGTTTCAGGATGATTCCGGTTATCAAAAAACATTAAATTCAGTATTATTAGCCTCATTTTTAGAGGGGAAAAACTTGTTTGGAGAGATTCAATAAATTTGTACAAAATCACAGAGCTAGTAATTGGCAAGGCCTCAAAGAGGCACCTGAATCTTCAGGTATCAAAACATTGGTTGAATTAAAATGTAAGTTCCTTGAAAATAGCAAGTTGATCCATTTTTCTCATTGCTATATTCTCAGGAAATATGAGTGTAAAGAATGAAAGAGAAAGAACACGAGAATATAAGCCAGCCATCTAAGTCATTAGTTATTTGTTTATTTTAATTAATTATGTGCTGAGCTGATATTACCGATATTAGTGCTAAGGTAAAATGTGGTCCACAGATTGGTACTAATGCACAAATTGTTTATTACCAGTGAATTTTGAGATTAGCACAGAAAATGAGCAAACATTTAGGATCTCTTTTGGCAACTTGGCGTTACTGTGACATCTCAGCAAGTGATCAGTRGACTTGTCTCATTGAACCTGGAGACGGGTAAGTTCAGGTGTCCAACTTGGATAGGGAGTCCATATGGCATACTCTGTGTACTAGTCATACTGCATCTAATTCAGTCCCACCCTTTAGGCTATTTACCACCCACCTGCTCCACCTCCTGGAGATTCTTTACTATGTAACCAAGAGAATGCTTCCTGTCTTTGAAGTGAAAGTCCCAACAGATTTGAAATTTTTTAAAAAACTGCTCTTCACCACAGAAGTTAGATCTACTAATCTTATGATGTGGAGACATTGTTGTGCAGTAATTATGTATATGATCCCTGGAATGAGATGACATAGGTTTAAATGCAGGTTCTGCTACTTGCCAACTGCTTCCGCAAATTGCTTAATCTCTTGCAGCCTCAGTGTTATTATCTGTAATATGTACTTTAAAAAGTATAAAATTTCAGAGGGCCTTCATAAAAATCTATGAAAGGTAATGCAGTTTACAGAAACTTGAACACGATGAAATGTTATAATAAATATTTTCCTTATTCTGGATCATAAAAATTTATGATATTTGCAAAGTTTTTCAAAACCTTCACAATAGARATGATTCTATCAATATCCAACCTTKTAAATAAACAATCACTTTCAGTTATAAACATTGTTAAAAGATAATACATATCAGCTAATTCCAAAAGTTCTTTATTTGTATTTGTTTAATATTTTGTATTTGTTTAATGGGGGATTGAACCCAGGAGCATTCAACTATTGAGCTACATCTCCAGCCCTATTTATTTATTTATCTATCTATCTATCTATTTATTTAAATTTTGAAATAGGACCTTGCAAGTTACCCAGGCTGGTCTTGAACTACAATGTGATCCTTCTACCTGAGCCTCCTGAGTCGTTGGAATTATAGGTATGTGCCATTTTACCCAGCAATATTTGTTTTTTAATACATGATATGAGGGACACTACATTTAGTTTCTAGGTGTCCATTAAAAGCAGTTATTTCTTCAGCTCAGCTTGTCTGTAGGTGAAAGAAGGCAGCCAGGCAGGTGCATGTGTACATTGCATGAAAGCATGGGGGTAGAGCTCAGTGGTAGCATATATGCTCAGCATGTGCAAGACCCTAGGTTTAATCCCCAACAATACACACACACACACACACACACACACAGTTATTTGATGGCATATATGTTGCCTACTTATATATAAATTCAAAAGACTTGATATGCAGTCTCTTTCTGCTGAACTCTAGCCTGCTCATTCTTCTCCATTTCCTTCTGTGAACTTTGTCATCTGGAAGAAAGCAGCTACTCACCCATGCAGCTCTGCAACTCCTAGAAAGAGTCAAGGATTCCTGCACCAAGGAGGCTGGATAATGATGAGCACCAGGCAGGCAGGACACACTGGCTGAAAAGAGAGCCCTGTGTAGGCAGAGAGCCAGAATGTCAAAAGTAAGCAGTCCTTTTTTATCTGGAARGAAAAGCTTGCACTTATCTGCACTATTGGGGACGAGACTGTCACCAGCCCAACTCAGCCTTCAATAAGTGGAGGGAAAAGGAATCYAAGAGGGGTTTGTACCATCTTTATGGATCTGAATTAACATTGTTCTATAACAAAACTCAAATGTGTAAACTGCAAATCAAGGAATCCAATATATGACATCTGAATTTACAGAAGGCAGAATAGTATGATGAGGGTTATTAGATTTAACAATAAAAATATAGGATTCCTGATTTAGATTTGAATTTTAAATAAACAAATATATATTTTAGTATAAGTATGTTCCAGGCAGTATTTAGAATTTGTATATCTGAAATTCAAATATAACTGGATGTCCTGTATTTTATCTGATAACCCTAAAGGTGGTTAAACATGTAGGCTCTGAATCTGTAATCCATACTGTATAAGTTCAAATTCTGATCCTACCACATATCAGTTGTGTGGCTTTGGGCACATTACTAAACTTTCTAAGACTCAATATTGTAAAATTTGGATAACATTTACTTCATACCAGGACTGAGGTTGTAACTCGGTGGTATAGTGCTTATCTAGCACATGTGAGGGACTAAGTTTGATCCTCAGCACCACATAAAAATAAATAAGTAAAATAAAGGTATTGTGTCCATCTACAACCAAAAAAAWWTTTTAATCACCTCATAGAGTTGTTGTTAAGAGTAAATGATATACATAAAAATTTATAATGGTAACTGACACAGAATAAGGGCTGATAAAAATATTAGCTATTTTTATAGGGAAAATTAATGGTTTTTCATAACCAAATATCTTTTTTTTAAATTTAACATTATTTAATGTTAAATTATTTAATGTTAAATCTGGGTGGAAGGTGTTTTTGCCTCCGTATTTCCTTGGTACTTTCARTTTAGTTTACAACAAGGTRAACTAACATAACTTTCAGACTCACTATCTATGGTATAAAGGAACACATTACCAATACCTTACACAATCAGAAAGTTTCCTATTCCTTCCTTTGATGCCTAACAATTGAAGCCAATTTTTTTTTCCATTTTTTATTGGGTCATTATAATTATACCTAATTGAACCCAATTTTTAAGTTGTCCTAAAAACCTGGTGCTTCAGATTTCCAGTGCACAGTTTGGGTAAGTGCTCACAAAAGATTCATTGAGCATTCACTAGATCAAAATCAGGAGTCAGTGATAGCCCCTAAATGGAATTTTGTTTCTAAGGTATTTATTATAGGATTTTTGAACTCTATARATTATTTAAGAATAACCAACTTGTGTAGATAATTTCAGTTCTTGAATAGAGTTCTGTTATCACAAAGTTAAACACCAAACAAGAAGAAATTATATAATRGAAAGTGCAGTGGGTTTAGAATCCAGAAATTTGGTTCTCCCACTCAGTACAAGTCACCTAATGCTTCTGAATATTTGCTTCTTCATTTATAAATTGAGAATATTAATATCTACCGTAAGCAGCAAAAAAAAAAAAAACCAGAGTTAAATGAGATAACATAAGGACAAATACAATACTGGGAATAAAGTAAACACTCGATAAATGCCCATTAACATGAATCTGTTTATTCATTAGAAAGAAGACCAGAGAGGAACACCAGAGGAAGCTTAAAGAAAGATCCGAGCCTGGGATTTATGCTACTTTATATGGCTGAGCTAAAACTCCTTACTCTGTCCACATCTGCTTCTGGATGAGAACCAATTACTTCCAAACAATGATACAACCTAAGGGGAATGCAAGAAAGGAGTCCATCCATCTTCCCCATCTTCGGGGCCGTGTGTGTGTGTGTGTGTGTGTGTGTGTGTGTGTGTGTGTCTGTGTGTGTGTGTGTGCATGTGTGTGTGTACTGGGGCAGGGGTGGAGGGCAGTAGTGAGAAGGAGGAAAGGCCAGAAAAGGAGTTGGAAAAATATTTTTTTCCTTTTGATAATTCGTTAAGTTGAATACCAAACTGTGCAGAAAAAAAAAAAAAAAGCAGTTTGACTCCAGAACTTGGAAAACACACTTCCAGTAAATTTACAATATTAATTTTGCGCTGAGAGAGCAAATCCCAAATTCAAACCAGATTCACAAATTATGATCTCACTTTTTCCAGAGTTTCTACTGATTAGGCTTGTTATAGATTAACTAGAGGTAGAATGTATTAAAGGGRAAGAAGAGAGAGAAAAAGAGAATACTTAAACTCAAGAGAATAAAATTTCCTGTGTTTGCTTTTTCTGCTAATAAATGAGACTCAAGCAAAAGAGTGTGTATTTTCTAAGGAGAAGTGAGGGTGAATGTGTGAGCATTTTACAGAGGGGATTACCAAGGGAGTCAATCATTTTGAGCCGGAAAGCCATAAAGAGTGCCAGTTTTCTCAAGACAGTTGCAGGGATGAGGGTGAATTTGGGRGTGGGGGGTCGTGGACAGACCTAGTGGTTGTAGAATGAGCTGGGAAGAGTGTTTTTCTTTTTCTTTTTATTTATTTTTTGGTACAGGGATTGAACTCAGGAGCACTCAGCCACTAAGCCAATYCCCAGTCCTATTTTATATTTTATTTAGAGACAGGATCTCACCGAGTTGCTTAGCACCTCACTTTTGCTGAGGCTGGCTTTGAACTTGSGATCCTCCTGCCTTGGCCTCCCCAGCCACTGGGATTACAGGTGTGTGCCACCGTACCCAGCCGGGAAGACTATTTTGAAAGCTAATTAATTAATATACATATTGAGTATCAGTTGTATGTTCAATAGCTTAATATGTTCAGGGGATACAATGAACATAAAGCCAAGTGCCAGCATTCTAATTTACAAGACAGCAATCGGTGGGTTTAAGTGAAGATAGAAGGAAGGCTCTGTAACCAAAGGATTAAGAAAACTTGAGTGACTATCATATGATTTGAGGGTTTTTTTTTTTTTTTTTTTTTAAGTAAGGGCTACATCCTAAACCAGAGACTAGAGGGTGCTTAACAAAAATAAATAAATAAAAATAATGAAGTGTCAGATACGCAGGGGCTGTGATTAAAGGCCTTGCTTGGGCTTTGAATGTGGTCAAGGGAAGAGGTGAATCATGTCTCAAATCCTTCCCTTGCCTTCTGCAATGGGGGTGCATGGTATGAAGGAAAAAAAGCCAGGGTGTGTGCATGTCTTGACAGACATCTGAAATAGATCAGGATCCTGTTGCAGGCTGGAGGGTTTCCTCAGAACCCCTCTCTTCATCCCCAAAGCTGTAATTGCCAAAATAGGTTATCAGAATTTCAGCGTATGCCAGTATCTCACTAATGCTCATTTGCTGACTTTAATGAGTTCCAGAACCAATCTGTGATCTTACAGTCAGCTCAGGTTTATCACCAAAAGAAAATCCGTAAGTCTGGTGTGGGAGGTCAGCTCAGCAGAACACAGCAGGGAGACATTGATGTGAAAATGAATTTAAATGAATTCTGGTGGACATTGTAAGGCTTCACAGTCCTTTAATAGCATTAAGCACAAAAATGTTTGGTGTCGTCGTCYGATGTCCTGATGAGCTCGGCTCTTGTATAATACCTGTCTTGCAAACCACACAAACTATCCTTTTGTTCTCTCTTCAAATTTCACAGCTTCCTCTAGTCTACCGAAAAAGGGAAACTCGTATCTCCGAGCTGTTACAATAAAACTATTGGCAGCCTGTAAAGTGAGAACAGAGCCTTGCCTTAATTTATTGCACCACACAGATTTATTACACATCAGGGTAATAATAACACTGGGACTTGCAATCTGATGATCTTTGCTCCAGTAGGAGCATGATGGAGGGAGCCAGCCTGGAAAGCCCTGGGCTCGTGGATTCCCTATATGGTACTAAGCACTGCMGGGCACACTCTTGGCTCTGTGCCACGAGACAATGCAGTATCACTGGGCCAGGCAGTGCCAAGATGTGATGCAGACTGGGTGAGGAGATGTAGTATTTCAACAGAAAACACTAGAAGTCATTTGCCAGGTCTGAGAAGAGTGTTTCCACAGTTGCTCATTGCCAGGGAAGTAAGCATTCCCCAGCTCCCATCTTCACATAAAAGCTTCCTCAACCTGTAATAGGATGAGAATCCAGTTTTAGAACCATAGAGTTGACAGAAAACTTTAAGGGGCACCATAATAGTTAAAGCTATTCCAACAGAGATTCGAAGGCACATTTAACAAAATTCATGGTAAAAGACAATCACCCTTCAGGCTGAGGGTCTCCTCAGTGCCAGCCTCAATTCTGGACTGCTTCATGGTCTCTTCATCATGGCTTCTGAGTCCTAAAGTGTCTGATCAATCTTGGCTGCTTCCAGGGACACTGCTCTGAGGCGCTCAGGCACTCGGCTTGCCTATGGTGATGTCAGTGACATCCTCACAGAGGGCAGCATCCATCAGAGGTGCCCTCCTGCTGCTCAACTCACRCTGGAAGTCTCTCATTAGAGTTTCTAATTTTTAAGATAATGGGAACTTAATGGGGATTATTTTGATTTTTTTCTTACTAGCCAACACTTTGATATCAGACCCAGCTGCACTGCCTGAACAAATGCATTCTGAGTAAGCAGAAGCTGTGGCTCAGGAAACTGCTGACTTAACCTTAGAAAGGCACAAGAGAATCCTAGAGCCCAGTTTTCTTTTGTTTGACTTGGCAAGAAACCATGCCAGTCTTCAGTCTGAGTTCAATGGAGAATTATCCCTACTCACTTGAAGGCTTTGGCCTGAAACAGTGTTTGGGTATCTGGCCATTGGGTGACCACGTTGCATTCTCCCTTCTTTGCCCACCAATTTCTAGAGAGAAACACTTTTATTAAATCATCAGTGAACTATTCAATGAATTCTAAACATTTGAGGAGCCTAGGTTACTGCTACTCCTTTCTATATCATGCTTTATTTATTTATTTATTTATTTATTTATTTATTTAAAGAGAGAGTGAGAGAGGAGAGAGAGAGAGAGAGAGAGAGAGAATTTTTAATATTTATTTTGTAGTTCTCGGCGGACACAACATCTTTGTTGGTATGTGGTGCTGAGGATCGAACCCGGGTCGCACGCATGCCAGGCGAGCGCGCTACCGCTTGAGCCACATCCCCAGCCCTATATCATGCTTTATAAGTTCACCGAACGTGGTGGCCCACACCTGTAATCCCAGTGACTTGGGAGGCTGAGACAGGAGGATCCCAAGTTTGAGGCCATTCTCAGCATCTTAGCAAGACCTTGTCTCAAAATAAAGATGAGAAGGGGTGGTGAGTGGTATAGTTCAATGGTAAAGGGTCTTCAATTCTCAGGACCAAAAAAAAAGAATGAAGAATTCAATCTGCCTATCATCAATCCCTGGTTGTACTTACGAGACAGATTTACTTTCTAAGGACAATACCAAGACTGGAATCAAAGAACTTCAATATGGTTTGATACTATCAGGCCTTGGAAATTTGAAGACATAGTMCTTGTCTTCTTATAAAAACTTTTGACTTTCTTCCTAGCAAACATATGTAAGTTTTTTATTTTGCATTGGCAGGTGGCAGTCTGCAGGATAAATTGGCCTCTGGGGATTTTTAACCTGCCAAAATGATTGGCAAAACACAAAATTGCGAAAATCACCGTCTTCAGTAAACCAACGGTGCCCAACAGCTCCCAGGAGAGTGTGGATGGGCTTCCTTTGATGGCTGTTAGCTATCAGGACCACTCAGACAAATCCTGAATCTTGGCAACCACTTTAGTCCTGTGGTCACTGATTGCTCACTGGCAAGAAACCAWGTCAGTCTCCAGTCTGAGTTCAATGGAGAATTATCCCTACTAACTGGAACTTCTGGCAGTGCGTCTTCAAATTCCCCCAAAGCAATCATATAGTAGGAAAGCCAAAGAGGCAGAGGGGTGGCTAAATCACAGAAATGAAGATAAACACATTTAGTTCCATGTTCCCCTAGAGAGTCGACAGGCCCGGATACTTCAAAACACATTGCCCATTGCTTTAGATGAAAGGCCCAAGACTATTTTAATTAAGTAATTTGTTTTCAGAATAAATTTCATAAGGAAGGRAATTGCCCTCCAGCTATTTGGTGGAATGGGTTATCAATAAATTGGCCTCAAAAGAAGAAGGGTGCTAGATAAGGCAAATGAAAATATAAAGTGGGGAGTGAGCAGAAACTGTAGCATTGTTAAGAAATCCAAACAAAAATCATCAGGAGTGGGAACTCATTTATATTTAGTTATTTTGAAAAACGATGATGGTAGTACAGGGGTATGAGAAGGTGTGAGTGAGGCAGAGGCTTTATTTAGTCTTACAAGAAACAGTTGCCCAACTCCAAAGCCTGCCTGGGTGGCTAGAACATTGGGAAGTATGCACAGTGTGCAGGAACTTGGCTGTCAGCTCTCCCAAGGTTGCAAAGTGCCAACCAAGCTCATGTGCCGTCTTCATTAGGCTGTAGGTGCTKACTGTGCCAGTAGTCACCTCCACAGCTCTCAGGCCCCTTACCACATCCTTCCATTCACACTGCATCTCAGCAGAGCTCCAGCCCACTTTACATCTCTTACATCAGGGGGTTTGGGATGACAACTTGCATATGATCTTTGCAAACTTAAACTTTTGAGTGCTTGGAATTTGAGCATAGAAGCAAAAAAAAAAAAAAAATAAGTGGACAAGAGCAGATAAACGTCTACGTTTCTAAAATGAGTCTGAAGCCCCGTGCAGTGAGCCCTGTGATGCCAGCTACTCAGGAGACTGAGGCAATAGGATAGAAAGTTCAAGGCCAACTTGGGCAACTTTGTGAAGCTCTAGCTCAGAATACCTCTGGAGATATATCTCAGCAGTAGAATGCTTGCTTTGTATGTGTGAGGCCCTGGGTTCAATCTCTGGTACTGAAGGGAAAAAAACAAACAAACAAAAAAATGAATAAACAAACATAAAAGAGTCTGAAATGCAAAGATAACTTTCAGGGTTCAGATTGAGCAAGATCTCTTGAGGTCATAATCCTGAAGATTTTACTTCTTTTGTTAAAAAGAGGAGGAGAAAGAGG